ACTCTATAGACAACATTTTTCGAATATGATCTCTAAAGACTAAATACTTTCAATTGGTTTGGATAAATCAATTTTTGAAAATTTCTACTCACATTTGTATGTTAATTTCAGTCTCTTATTATTTCAGATATCACAAATTTCATAAGATGGCTCAAACAAGAAAGTATGTTAAATATAATTTAATATGTCGGTACACATGTTTAAGTCGTTTTGGTATTCATTGCAGATAAGTAAAATTAATTTCTCCTCCATAAATTGGCAGTTTTTATTATACGCGTATAAAAACATTCTTCGTCTTTCGCCAAGTTTACATCATCCATTGTCATACAATTGGTCTTGAAGTACTTCATGCATCATTGCTGTATTTTTACTTCTTTGTACGTGTTCGTTATAATTACAATATCAATTTGATAAATTACTAAATAGTCGTGTATTATATATTTATAAACAATTTTCGTCTTCGATACTTGTTTTTGTTTTCGCTTTTTACAACAGCCCAATAGGGGCGATTGCGGCCTCCACAAAGAGGAAGTTTCTTAACCATTTATACTCCGAGATGGGTATTTAGAGAGAGGGATGGCAACTCGTTCAGCAAACGGAGCCGCCTTTTGACCGAGTCTCGAACCGGAGACAGTACGGCATTACAGACACTGCCCCGTGTACCACTCGGACACACCATCCCTCTTTCCATACTTTTAGGTCGTTAAATTTGGTTGAATCTATTTCCTATATAATTTATCAAATATTTATAAATAATAATTTGAAACCGAATAGATCTTTTTACTCAACTAACTATACAATCTACAACAGTTATAAAATGACAAATTAACGAATAAATATAAAACCTAATATTTTATATACAAATAACTTATAATTTTTAATAGCCAGTAATTTTTATAATAATTTTTTTTAGTAATGTTTTATTTTCGCCACTATTATAATTATTTTATACGTTCTTGAGTAATCGTTCCAAATATTTTGTTTGTAATTTTTGCAGATTTAGTCCGGAGAAATAAATTATTTTTGCCGAGATCGTATTTGTACTATTTCAGTCTTGATATTATGTCTTTAATTAGTATTCAGTAAAAAGATGGCAATAATAATTTTATTTTACCAGATCAATAATATACATAATTTTTATCAAATATATTTGGCTCAAATCTAGATCAAATGACTCGAGAGTTTAAGGTTAAATCTTTAGAACGCGTTTAGGCAGCGTGTGTCGGTGTTTAGCAGTAAATGGACAAAGCAAAACTGCTCATGTGAATATTATTGTCTGTCGAGTCCTCGAGGTATCCAAAAGCTAAAAGAGGCGGACCGAGTTGAACTGTAAAAATAAAAATGATATTTTTCTAACAGATCCACAAAAGAGCCGCCGTAGAACGCTATTCGGTGTAACAACATTAAGTGTTTTCGTCACTAACTGTCTCTTTGCCGGGCGAGTACACAAGTGACACAACACAATATCTACTGGGAAACGGTGATAAATCATCGATGTATCGGTGTTTAGGAAAAGAGGTCGCTATGTCCAATGCATAAATGATTTACAGTTTCTTTTCAGGGTTCTACTATTGTGTGTAAATATTTCTTAATTTTCACTGAAAATCCTTTTTTGATCCCCTAACCGTTAAGGACGACACCGATTTTAAATGTAAACAGTGTCCATACCAATTCTGTTGAACCATCTGGTATTCTTGTAACACCATAATGTATCTTATTACGACTACATCTATTGTGTAAAAATAAAAAATATCATCAGCAGTACATCCTTCAAGAGCCAAATATTTTTTGGCAGTTGATATTTCCAGAAAGAATCAAAAAAACAGCCAGTTTCGTCGTCAGCGATTATTTTCAAAGACATAGTTAGTCTTTAAAAATAAATTAGAGACATAGTCAATACCATTGATTAAATCGAAGAATAATAGTTTTATGAAAAATAAATAAGAAAATTATAATATTTCCTTTATTATTTCGATTAATTAGTCTAGTAAATGTATTTCTCACATTCGCGGGTGGAATATTGTACGAGTTTTCTTTTGGTATCTCAACCTTTGCCGATGATTAATAAAAAATAAATATAAAGCGTAGAAAAAGTAATAACACTTAACAATGACTTGCAGTGCTACTTCTGAGAACAGTCGAAGAATGTGATACGACCAGAGGGTGGAATCATTGTAGTTGGAAAACGACATAGCACCAGCAATGTAATAATATTAGTCAACGAAGGACATTGTATCGTTTACTTGCTACAATTTAATGGTTTACTATTGTAATGATAATTATGCACGATGATATTTCGGATACACATAAAACAATGAAGACAAAGGGCCGTAAACTGTGTTTACAGTGTTACTGTTTTGTCTCGTTGTCAACTTGACTATCGTGTAACGTGCTGCTCACTATTGAACTGAAAGATGAAATCTCTAGAAAACCACCACTTCAAGGGTTTTTATTATCAAGAGAATAAATTGCCATTTGACTACCGGGTTTTAACAGTTATTAGCTGTAGTATAAGGTGTTCTGACAATGTTGTTCAGACAGCAGTAACTCGTACAAAGTTGTATACGGATTAATGTTTATCCGTATGAATATCTACAGAGGTCATACAAAAGATGTAAAAAATATTTTATATTCGTATTTTCATACACGATTCACATCTTCGCCCGCCAGACATCTGTGGGAATGTAATAACCGACAGGTGTATGGGTGTAAAATTATAATAGTATAACGTCGGACAAGTGATTATACGAAAATTATTAGTTACTCGATCCTATGAATTTTTTTGATTACATGTGCACTTTCATAGGGTTAAAAATGGACATTAGTAAAACAATGTACTATTTTTTAACAAATTCAACCGAGTGTAATGCCTTTGTTCTATATTTCTCTCTGTGGCAAAAATATAAGTATCAAGAAAGCCGAGATATTTTTAGGCCGTTTGCCGTATATTAAAATGTATAGATGCGCTTTTTAATGCAAAAAAATATCGTGGGAAATTTAGTGTATTCGTTGCTGACCTAAAAGGTGTCACCAGAGATTGTTGTCGCGTTCTCTTTGTGTCGCGATTTCCGCGAAAAACGTTCATCGTATTGTGAGTGCGTGTAATGATAGCCCGGCTGCAAGGGTCACTACCATAACAGCAACAGTGACGACACTGCACATTATGTGTAAACACGGTGACATAATACCCAAAGAGATATCGTAATGCACGTCTACCGCGAATAATACGCGCCGGCCTAATACGTTTT